GTGAGTCAATGACTGCTTACACGGTATTGTTAGGAAATCTCACACCTGTAGAGCAGCTTGGCATCCGTTTGTACATCAACGTCAACGCACCAATGGAAGCCGCTTGGAGCTATCTATAGCACCTCTATTTAGGGAAAGACAAAGTGACACAAAGCAAGATTTTAGAACAACTCGCAACCATACAGATGAAGCCAGGAGAGAAGGCTTCAGGGTACATCAATAGAAGAAGAGATTTACGGGATCAACTTCTTAAGTGTGTTGGATACTTCCCTCAAGACATGTTCATGACAATACTACTTGCGGGACTTGGACCAGATTGGAGACAATGCAGAGCAGTATTACAAGTACATGCCAACTTATCTGAAGGCGCTCTTTGTGCTGCACTTCTGGCGGAGCAGCAAGACATGGACCTGCATGAAGAAAGAGTTAAGCAAAATGGATTGACTTCCCATGATGAAGAACAACAGCACAATTTTCTGAGTTTTTACACAAGGTCCAAGAATTTCTGCAAAGTTTGCAACAAGTACAGACATACTACAGAGAAATGCTACAAGCAACATAATCATCAGTAGCAAGTTCAACACCAGGCTCAACATCAACAAGAGAATCATCAACAACACGTTAAGTAGCAAGAATCACCAGATCTTCAACAGCAGCTACAGAAGATTCAACTACAATTGTAGCAGCTTCAACAAATGTTTCAGCATCAGTAGCTTAAGCAACAACCTCATCATCAGGCCCGAAATGTCTATGCAAAAACAGAATTTATAAACATCGTTAGCTACATGACAGCAGTCAGCCACATCACAGCTGGAGATACGGTTTCAAAGGCATATTAAGAAAGCCTACCTTCAAGTCAGTCGATGATAGGCTAGAGGAGGAGGAGGAGGAGGAAGAGGAGGAGGAGGAGGAGGAGGAGGAGGAGGAGGAGGAGGAGGAGGAGGAGGAGAGGAGGAGGAGGAAGACGAGGACGAGGAGGAGGAGGGCGGGCAGGAGGATGAGGAAGTGCAGGTCACCGGCGAAGCGGATGCAGGTGTAGAGTTCGCCGGCCAAAGGCATGCAGATCGAAGCTGGGCCAGAAAGTGCGGGCGAGTGGGATTTCGTCCCCCACCAAGTCGTCAACTACACCTAGAATGGCGTTGAAGGCGGTCCTGGATCGCTTGAAGAAGGTGGAGAAGGAGAACATAATGGTGAAGGAGGAGAAGGCGGTTTTAGAGAGGAGGTTGGACGCCGAGCAGGCCCGCATAGACAAGCTAGTGTCCGTGATGAATATGGCTGTCGATATGCTCTCGACGGTTAGCGAGCGCGTGTCCACCCTCGAGGTGTCGGCGGAGGCGAATGTCAAAGGAGTCGTCAAGTCTCTCACGGTAGTCACGTAGGATGCGACGGCCGGTCGGCCTGCCGTCATAGCACACATGAACGAGAAGTGGCTGCAGGTTATGGAGGGCGTACGGTTATCAATGGATGCTCTCAATACGGGAAAACAGAACCATGACGCGCACGTTGACTTGGTGTTGGGCGGTCTACCCGATGTAGTGGCTGACAAGACCAAAACCGCCTCGTCCACTAAGGTGAAGACAGACGTCGACAGCTCGACCAAAAAGATCGCCGCAGCCGTCATACGCAGCCTCTCGCCACCCCCCGCCTCCACGTTTACCAATGCGTTGTGTTCGAAAGTCGTCCAAGACCTACGGGATAACGTGGTGAAGGCTGTCACCTCCGCAACCAAAGAGGGCTTTGGTACCCTCGGGTTCCAGTACCTCCTGACAGTTCTTGTGTCGGTGATGCACAGAGGCTCTGGAGCAAGAGACGTGGAGCAAGAGCCGTCGCAAAGGCCAGCGCCACTCAGTGGGAAAAGGGTTGACGATGACCAAACCCAGGCCGGGGAGGAAGCCAGCTGCGCAAAGCGAAGTAAAGGACCCGGGGTGAAATGCAAAGTCGGTGTAGATGCTGCAGCCGCTATGTCGGTTCGACGTCCGAGCGTCGACGATATGTTGAACGAGGCAGGGGCGGCATCGCAGAGCCTCGGAAGCTTGCGACAAGTTGCTGCTGAAGCAAATAGCGAAAGGGGTTCGACGGCCGTGCTATCTGGGGGTGACTCGCCCCCCCGCCCTTCACGCCAAGAAGCATTCAGGGAATCCCGTGGAGGTCCGCCATTCCTCCTTGACGATAAGTGCTGCCGACGCTCCTGGTGGGCCACCGAGCGACGTTGATCAACAGTTGGCCCACGATCTTTTGGGCGCTACATCGGTGCTCGAGAAGCAGAGTGGGAACCTCCTGTTGGACCACAATTCCACCCCATGACCATTCCTGCGGGTGCACCTGCCACGTGTCCGAGAGGCGTTACGGCACAGCCGGTCGACGAACTTGTCGGCCCTGTCTCGGGTGCTTTAGGCATGCGACCGAGCAGCGTGGTCGAGACGGCCACCTCGTCGGCTCTTGTGTCGGCGCCGACCTGGGCGTTGCCCAAAGCGGTTACTGCCCGCGCGACCACCAGCGTAGTGGAGACGCCCACAATCGTGTCTCGTGTTTTGCTGCCGAACCTGCCTCCGCCGACAACGTCACTACCCAATTGCTGACAAACCCGCCTCCGCCTACAGCGGTCACTGCCCACGCAACCAACTCAACCACTCTGGGGACAAGTGTGGCTGACAAGGATGTTGGGGCATATTGGCTACGCTGTCGGCACCACCGACGGTCGCGCCTTCCCTCAGTGGTTACCCAACGTACAAAATGCCAAGCCACCTAGTTCGCTGCATTGAAAAGGGCAGAAATCCCACCAGCGCCGAGCAACAATGCTCATGTCGCGCGACCACCAGTGCCCGCTGAGGCGATCGACCAGCTTGGACAGTCGGCACATGTCATAACGACGACAGCACACCCGAGTGGCACAACGGTGGAAACGGATGTGGAGGGGACGTCGGCCACTTGCTACTTTGGGACCATAGAGATGGGAAGCGAGTACGACGTCGACCCTAAACTGAATTTGCCGGACATTGACATCGAGATCATGAGGGCAAGAATCAACGAGGTAGATACCGGTGTGGGAACCAAACAGGGTACAGCTGCCGCGCCTGCGTTAGCTGAAGAGGCCCGTCCCGCGAGCGGCCCCAACTCTCCGCCATGCCACAACGGGTGGTGTCGGCGACGCGAAGAAAAGCCGCAAGACGAAGGCCGACAGTTCGAAAGGGACGACGAATGTGATCGCCGAGAAGGGTCGAAAGGGTTCTGGCGTCCACGCAGACAAGGCCTCGAAGGGGTTTGTGGGGGAGTTGAAACTGGCCAGAAAGGCCCGATACATTTGTCGTTCGCCTAACAGGTCTGAGGCCGCCTACTGCAACGCCATCGCCGCGTCCATTTTCGATGGCTTCATAAGCGACATAATATTTGAGGAGTTTCATTTGTCAAACATTATACATGTTCATATTGTGTAGGCTATAGTGGGTTTAGCCTTAGGGGGTACAACATTGCTAGGGTTTCCTACTTGTATCACCCTGCTGCCTAGTTTCACACATTCTCGTTCAGTTCTACATTCTAACATGGTATCACGAGCCTAAGTTGCTACCTAGGACCGCTTTCTCCTACGGGCCCACTATTCCGCTAGAAGCGCCCTCGTGCGCCCTAACTTACGTGCGCCCTCGTGCGCCCCCGTGCAACCCGCCCTTCGGTCTGCCCGCGTGTCGTCCTGCAGCCCTCATGCTGCCTCCTGCAAGCTAGTACGGCCCTCGAGCCGCCCCTGCAGGTCCGTCAGGCCCCCGAGCCGCCTCTGCACACCCGTCAGGCCCCCCCGAGCCGCCTCTGCAGGCCCGTCAGGCCCGAGAGCCGCCCCTGCAGCCAGCGCGCTGCCCTGCCGAGCCGCGCGTCGCCCGTGGGCGCTGCCTCTGCCCTGTCGGGCTGCCCTGGGGAGCCGCGCGCGACCCCCGCTGTCCCGTCGTGTCGCCCTGGGGAGCTGTGCTCGGCCCCCGCTGCCCCGTCGAGACGCCCTGGGGAGCCGCAATCGGCCCCCGCTGCCCTGTCGCGACGTCCTGGGGAGCCGCGCTCGGCCCCCGCTGACCCGTCGCGACGCCCTAGGGAGCCGCGCGCGACCCCCCGCTGCCCCGTCGCGACGCCCTGGGGAGCCGCGCGCGCCCGCCCACCCCCCCCCCCCCCTCCCCCCCCCCCCCCCCCCCCCCCCCCCCCCCCCCCGCTGCCCCGTCGCGGCGCCCAGGGGAGCCGCGCGCCGCCCCCCCCCCCCCCCCCCCCCCCCTCGCTGCTGCCCGAGCCACCTTGCAGCCCGCGAGCCGCCTCTGCAGCGCTGAGTGCGCTCTGCCAAACCCTAAAATAAATAATTAATTATTAACAAAAAAAAAAGGGAGCAGCTGCCCCTGGCCCCTGGAGCAGCCGCCCCTGCAGCAGCCGCCCCTTGCCCCTGGAGCAGCCGCCCTTGCAGCTGCCGCGGAGCCCTCGCCCTGCAGTGGTAGCGGCCTCGCCGTTACCATGGTCGTACGCCTGCCCTTCTCACCAGTGATGAGCACTGCCCTGCCCGTATTGTTGTTACTGCTGCTCCTGCTGCTATTGCTCTTTCTACTTCTACTTCTGCTCCTGGCGTGGCCAAATGCAGCTCCAGCGCCGTCCACGTGAGTCCCTCACGCCCCAACAACTTCGTGAGTGGTATGCTGGTTGGGGTTGTAGGGGTGGCCGCGCTGTTGCTACTACTCTTGCTGCTACTACTGCTACTGCTGCTCCTGGCGATGGCCAGATGCAGCTCCCGCGACGTCCGAGTGAGTCCCTCACGCCCCAGTAGCTTCGTGAGTGGTACGCTCAGCGTGGAGGGTCACGGGGTACTGCTCGCTGCCCGTACGTCATTCGCACTAGTGCTCGGACTAGTCAGCCTTGCAGGACGTTTGGTCACACAGAGTCCCGCTGCGTCGCTCGTCTGAGCGACGCCTGGCGTACAAAGTTTGGCGACGCGGCTGAGCTCCCTGACTGGGTGGAGCTGCTTAGGCAGAGGGTAGATCTCTATGCTCTTGACTATGATGCTATCCTCACTGCCATGTATGCATTTCCTACTAGTGGTGAGAGTGCCTGTCACCTGTGTGTGCAGCATGACCCCGGTATCTAGTCTGCTACTCTAGGTACTGGTGAGGCTGCTGCACTAGGTGCTCATGTGTCTGTTGCCCCAGGTGCTGGTGAGGCTGCTGCTCTAGGTACTCGTGAGTCTGCGCCCTCTGGTACTGCGTCTACTGAGGCACTGCACACCTTCACACTGGACTCAGGCGCTTCCCGCTGTTTCTTTCGTGACCGCACTGCCCTTGAGCAGCTTGCTCGGCCGGTTGCAGTCTCCCTCGCTGACCCCTCTGGGGGTCCGGTCATTGCGACCTCCTCTACTGTTCTCCCTTGTCCTGCGGTCCCTTCGGGCACACTGTCAGGTCTCTACCTCCCCTCGTTCTCTACGAACGTGGTGGGGGGTAGTGCGCTTCAGGACGGGAGTATCCACCAGTTTATCCCTGCCTACGAGCGTGTGACACACTGCACGTGCGCTCGGACGGGCCGCCACCTGGCTATCTTCACTCGGCAGCCGGGGTCGGACCTATACACACTGACCACTGAGTCCCCATAGGTAGCTGCGTCTGCGTCTGTGTCAGGTCAGCTGTCTGCCCCCTGCTCGTGTCGCTCTCTGGCACTCGAGACTGTCCTCCGGCATCACCGTCTTGGTCACCCGTCAGTGCAGCGCCTTCGTGCCATGCACAACCGGTACCTTGTCTCTGGTCTTCCCAGGGTTCTCCCTCCACTCCCACCCTCGCCTGCTCCTCCTTGCCTTCCCTGTGTCGAGGGGCGGCAGCGCGGCGCTCCTCACTCCTCCTCATTTCCCCCGACGACTGCTCCCTTGCAGACGCTCCACATCGACGTATGGGGCCCAACCCGCATCCGTGGACAGGGTCAGAAGAGGTACTTCCTGATCGTTGTTGACGACTAATCGCGCTACACGACGGTCTTCCCCTTGCGCACCAAGGGTGAGGTCCCTGATGTTTTGATCCCTTGGATCCGCTCTTCTCGTCTCCAGCTCAGTGAGCGGTTCCACGCAGACTTTTCTGTCCTGCGTCTGCACTCTGACAGAGGTGGTGAGTTCTCCTCCGACCTCTTGGCAGCCAACTGTGCGGAGCACGGCATCCGCCAGTCGTTCACGCTTCCGGCCTCTCCACAATAGAATGGGGTTGCTGAGCGCCGCATTGGCTTGGTCATGGATGTTGCACGTACCTCCTTGATCCATGCGGCTGCCCCCCACTTTCTGTGGCCGTTTGCGGTCCGATACGCTGCGCATCAGCTCAACCTCTGGCCCCGTGTCTCCGTTCCGGAGACTTCGCCGACACTGCGTTGGACGGGAGAGGTTGGCGATGCGTCGCGTTTGTGGGTCTGGGGATCCCGAGCTTTTGTTCGCGATACGTTCGCGGACAAGCTCTCCTCCGGCCCTGTTCCCTGTGTCTTCCTTGGCTTTGTCCCGGACGCGTCAGGTTGGCAGTTTTACCACGCCACCTCGCGCCGTGTCCTGCCCTCTCAGGACGTCACTTTTGACGAGTCCGTGCCCTACTACCGCCTCTTCCCCTACCGCACTTCCCCGCTACCCCCCCGCCTCTCTTCCTCGCGCCAGGTGCTGTTGTGGTAGACCCCCTCCCCCTTCAGGGTGTTGCTCCCTCAGGTGTGTCCCTGGTAGACCCGGTTGAGCCTGTCGAGGTAGCTGTCGACTCTCGTCCTGCCAGGGGTGCTGAGCCTGAGCGTGCGAAGCCTGGGGTTGCGGAGTCTGGGGTTGCTGAGCCTGGGGGTGCGGGGTTTGAGGGTGCGGAGCCTGCGGGTGCTGAGTCTGGGGGTGCTGAGCCTGGGGGTGCGGAGCCTGCGGGTGCTGAGTCTGGAGGTGCTGAGCGTGAGGGTGCTGAGCCTAGGAGTGCTACTTCTGAGAGTACTGAGCCTGAGCGTGCTGCACTTGGGGGAGGCCTCTCCTCGGAGCAGCTGCGTGAGTGGTACTTACAGTACTGCAGCTTCAAGAGAGGTGCTTATGGAGCTCGGAGTGGTGCCGGAGCTGGTGCTAGTGCTTCCCCTCCTAGGCGGGAGCTGCCCTCTCCCCAGCAGCTCTGAGAGTGGTACGCTAGGCGCTGCAGTCTCCGGAGTGGCGCTCCCGGTGTCGTGGACCCTGGAGCTTCTGGAGCTGCTGGAGGTACTGCTGCTGCTGGAGGTGTTGCTGGCGCTGCAGGAGGTACTACTAGTTTTGGTGCTGCTGGAGCAACTGGAGGTGCTCCTGCGGCTGGCGGTGCGGCTGGCGCTACTGGAGGTGCTGCTAGTGCTGCTGGCGCTACTGGAGGTGCTACTGGTGCTGGAGCTACTGCAGCTGCTGGTGGTACTGCTGCTATTGGCGGTGCTGCTGGCGCTGCTGGAGGTGCTGCTGGTACTGGTGCTGCTGGAGCTGCTGGAAGTGCTGCTACTGCTGGTGGTGCTGCTGGCGCTGCTGGAGGTGCTGCTGGTACTGGAGCTACTGGGCACGCTGCTGTTGCTGGTGGTGCTGCTAGTGCTGCTGGGACTGGCCTTGCTGAGGGGGTTGGAGCTGGAGGTGCTGAGCGGCCACGGCTGTACTACGTTCCGCTCCTTCAGCAGGTTCTTGGCCTTCCGCCCTCTCCTTGTCCTACTCCTCCCCTACTGAGTCCACCGCTTGTCCAATCGCAGTCACAATTACAGCCAGTCTCTCCACTTTCTGGTCCTTCTCCCTACACTGCACCGACGGGAGGTCTTACGGAGCGTCGTGAGCCTGAGTCTCGTCCTTCGTCGCCTGAGACTCGTCCAGAGTTGTCTGAGTTGCGTCCAGAGTCGCCTGTCCGCACTGTCCGCACTGGTCGTCGTGTTCCACGTCAGCGTCCTCCTCCTGTCCTTGGCACTCACTATATGACCCTGTGTCCCTCTACTGCTCCGCAGCGTGTCCCATTGCCGTCTCCACCAGCGACCTCTCTTCCTGCTCTTGCTGACCCGGAGTCTGACTCTCTTTGTGCTGCTAGTCCTACTGTCACGCGTCTCCTTGCTACTGCTGTCACTGACCCTTCCTTTGAGTCCTCTGCTGCGTCTGCTCTAGTCGCTGAGCTTGTTGACTTTGCTGCTGCCTGTCGTCTAGACTACGCCGCTAGCCTTGTTACTGAGTCTCAGTCTGAGTTTGTCTGTCCTCCGTCTATCGGGGGTGAGTGTGCTCTTTGCACGGACGTCCTTGAGGACAGACAAGAGGAGTTTGAGTGCTTTGCTGCTTCTTTGCCTCATCTCGTGTCCATGCTGGTTGCCCCTGAGGGAGACCCGGATGCACCAGACATCCCGACCCCATGCTCCTACGCAGAGGCGATGGAGGGTCCCTACTCCTCTCAGTGGAAGACAGCCATGGACGCAGAGATGGCTTCGTGGAAGTCCACAGGCACCTACGTCGACGAGGTTCCCCCACCTGGGGCGAACATTGTCAGTGGCATGTGGATTTTCATGGTGAAGCGGCCGCCGGGTTCTCCGCCTGTCTTCAAGGCGCGTTACGTTGCACGAGGCTTCAGTTAGCGAGAGGGAGTTGACTTCTTCCAGACCTTCTCCCCGACCCCGAAGATGACCAATCTTCGAGTTCTGCTGCACATCGCTGCTCAGCGTGACTACGAGCTCCACTCTCTTGACTTCAGCACTACGTTCTTACAGGGCAGCCTGCACGAGGAGATCCGGCTGCACTGCCCACCTGGCTTCACTGGGTCGTTCCCTCCTGGTACCCAGTGGAGCCTCCGGCGGCCAGTCTACGGTCCCCGCCAGACACCCCGTGAGTGGCACGACACACTGAGGACTACTCTTGCTACTCTTGGGTTTGCTCCTTCTACTGCTGACCCGTCGCTGTTTCTACGTACCGACACCACTATGCCTCCGTTCTACGTTCTTGTCTACGTAGACGACTTGGTCTTTGCTACTGCTGACACTGAGGCACTCGCCCACGTGAAGTCGGAGCTGCAGAAGAGACACACGTGCACAGATCTGGGTGAGCTGACAAGCTATCTTGGCTTGCGGATCACCCGAGACAGAGCATAGCGCACCATCACCCTGACTCAGTCACACATGGTGCCGCAGGTCTTTCAGCGCTTCCGCTTCACGTACTCCTCGCCTCAGCCCACTTCTCTGCCTACCGGTCACTCGCTCTCAGCTCTGCCTTCAGATGAGTCCGTAGAGCCGAGTGGCCCGTATCCAAAGCTCGTGGGCTGCCTCATGTACCTGATGACATGCACTCGACCTGACCTGGCATACCCTCTTAGCATCCTAGCATGCTATGTCGCTCCCGGCCGTCACCGGAAGGAGCACATGGATGCCGCTAAGAGGGTGTTGCGCTACTTGTGCAGTACGTCGGGCATGGGGCTCGTGCTTGGAGTTCGGGGCAACGTTGTCCTCACGGGTCACTCAGACGCTTCTTGGGCTGAGGACCAGGCTACGCAGCGGTCGTCTCAGGGTTACACCTTCAACCTTGGCTCTGGTTCAGTTTCTTGGCGTTCTAGTCGCTCTTCTTCTGTTCTTAGCTCCAGTTGTGAGGCTGAGATCTACGCCACAGCCATGGCTGCACAGGAGTTACGCTGGCTCACCTACCTACTGACCGACCTGGGAGAGCGGCCTCGTTCTCCTCTAGTGCTGTATGTTGACAACAAGGCCGCCATTGCCTTGTGTTAGGAGCACAGACTGGAGCACAGGACGAAGCACATCGCTCTGCGCTACTTCCTTGCTCGAGAGCTGCAGCATCATGGTCAGATTCGTCTGCGTTACGTGGCCACTCGGGCCAACACTGCTGATGTGTTTACCAAGGCGCTTCAGCCTTGTGACCATCAGCGAATCTGTACTGTTCTAGGCCTTGTGCCTACTCTCCCTCACTTGCTCACTTCTTGACTCTGTTTGTACTGTGATCTCTATATATATATACCTGCATGTTTACTCTTGTTAGGTTGTGATCACTGTACCTCTTGTTTTATTATCAAACTGCATACGAACTGGTCTTGTGACCACTTGCTTGTGCTCGGAATTTGTGCGGTTTCCTTGAGATCCACCCTGAGCTTGTTTTGCTTTGCTTTGACTGATCTTGTGACCATCTGGTTGTCTCCCACTTAGCCTATGGGGGTGTGTCAAACATTATACATGTTCATATTGTGTAGGCTATAGTGGGTTTAGCCTTAGGGGGTACAACATTGCTAGGGTTTCCTACTTGTATCACCCTGCTGCCTAGTTTCACACATTCTCGTTCAGTTCTACATTCTAACATCATTGGGGTCAATGAGGATGTGATGAAGCAGTGGAAGCCGGAGTGGGCAGTGGCAAAAAAGATGCCGGCTGGCATGTGGACGGTCATGAGGTGCCGTGGCACCAACGCGTTTCGTGACAGGTGCGCATGTCGAATGGTCGTTAAGGATCTTGTTTTTGTCAGTTCCCGCAGATGCCGATGGTGACTATGGGTCGTCCTTCTTGTCTCGCAGGTTCCAGGAGGTGGTCGCCGCCTATCACAAACTATTGTAAGACCGTGCTGCTCTCTCTGAGGCTCCGTGACATCCCGAGGTCGGACGAGAAGGAGAAGTTGGCGACCAACATGATCTCCTGCGTATAGATTTGTGCCGCGTTCGCACCCGTGGCCGCGAATGTCACGCCCAAGATGTGCGTCTCGTCAACGTGGTTCTTCCACGTCCTCACCGGCACCGCTTGCGCGGTGTGGTGCCTTTTGGAGACCAATGACACGCCAGAGGACGCGGCCGGCGAAGGTGCGGGGGCAGTGAAGGTTTGCGGGGCATTCTCAGTTTACGAAAAAATGTAAGAGCGCCATCTTGCAGGTGCTGCAACGTGCGGCATCGAGGGATTCCGCCTGTGAGGATCGAAGGAACTGGTTTATATATTATAATATGGTAAATAAAGGTAAGGCTAGCCGTCGTACTCTCACACGTCCCCCCATCAAAGCTGGGTTGCATGAGAAACACCCTGCTTGAGAAGATCATCATTGAGAGCACGGCGTGCGTTGCCCATATCAGCGTTTGCATCCCAACTGTCGTCCATTGGGTCATATACCTTCCAGCGTATCAGGAACTCGAGCGTGTTGCCGCACATGCGTCGATGAGCGAGCACTCTTTCCGCCTCTTACTCTGGTTCATCCTGTACGAGAACAGGTGGTGGTGGTGGCGGTAGCTGTCGTCCCATGAACTGTTGGTTGGGGTCCTTGTAGTAGCTGAACATGGAAAGCGTTATGAAGCTTGCACGTAGAAGGTAAGCCCAAGCGGAATGTTACTGGAGTCACCATTGCCTCAATGCGAAGGGGATCATAGAAGCGAGGCCAGATTTTGGACGGAAGATGGGACACGTCCAAGTTGCGTGTGTTCGAGAGGAACCTGATCTCCGGCCGCTACTGAGTGATCTCGTCAATGTCGATCCGCATACTGCTTCTGGGAGTTCTGCATCGTGGTGACACGAGCTGAGTCTTCTCCCATAGCTGCTACATGGTGGTGACGAAGTCGTATGCGGCTTGGATGTGTGCCGGTGTGGTTGGCTACTGTGGGGTAAGTGTTTCCCGTCCATAGCATAGGAAGAAAGGAGATTTCCCTGTGGCCGCATGTGAAGCGTTGTTGTAAGCGAACTCAAGCGTCGGTAACTGTAGATCCCAGTGGCTGGTGTCGTCTTTACAAGAAGTGCACAGTAACTGTTCAACCACCTGATTGAGTCGCTCTATCTGTCCGTCTGTCTAGGGGTGGTAGGCTGAAGAGATTGCAAGATTTGTCCCAAACAAATCCATGAGTTCCCTCCAAAACTTACTAGTGAATTTGGCGTCTTTGTCCGAGATAAGTATAGCGGGGATGCCATGGATGGTGATGATGCGACCGAAGAAGAGGCGAGCAGTTGCTTCAGCTGTAGCCGTGGCGTTGGTCAGGATGAAATGTCCCATTTTAGAGAACTTATCGATCACCACGAGTATAGCATCATGCCCTCGTGGGGTCGAAGGAAGCCCAGTCATGAATCCTAGGCTGACGACTTGCCATGGCTTCTCCGGTACGGGTAGAGGCTGAACTAACCCTGATTTTTTCTGCTTGCTACTCTTCATCCGCTGGCATGTGTCGCATGAGGTGACAAACTGCTGCACGTTTGCTGCCAACCGAGGCCAATAGTAATATTTAGCTATCCCCGCTAACATCTTCTTGCTCCCGAAATGTCCTGCGTATGCTACGTCGTGAAACTCCTCCATGAGATCTGTCGGAGCGGGGCATAGTTCGTTACCCAAATATTTACTGGACCCTTCCTTACCGCTAGGTCGTTCTCCCACTGTAACAGATTCTGTTTTTGTGCTTTAGCAGTCTCCGCATGCATGGAGTATCCATGTTGCAATAGACCCTTGAGCAGAGGGTTCATCCCATCGATCTAGATGCCTGGTACATGTTCAGGGTGGCTCAACGTGTCTGCCTTGTTGTGTAACCCGGATTTGTAGACGATGTCCTAGTGGAAGTAGACATGAGACCGCCCATCGCAACTAGCAAACGCCACTACCTTCTCCTCCCTCCCTCTTGCTGCCCGAGGATGGCTCTCATCCCCGCACTCCTCCAATCGGTGTACAATACGAACGGCACATCCACGCGCGGCAACTGCAACACCGCTCCTTCTTTCACCGCCCCTAGAAGATCCAGCAGTGCTGCTTTCTGTGGCTCGCCCCACTGCCACTTTTGATCATCCCGCAGCAACTTGTTCAGTGGGGTTGCTCGCTTGCTGAAGTTCTCCACGAACTTTCGTAACGCACCCTTGTCCGTGGTGGCCTCACGCGGTCCAGCACGTCCACCTTGGCCTTCTGAATGGCCAGCCTTCCCCCTGACACTTCAAACTCCAGGTAGGTAACCGTGAGATGTCCAAACCTGCACTTTTTGGGTTGGCAGGTCAATCCTACCGCCTTGATCCTCCTCAACGTCTCAGCCAGCCGCTCCACATGCTCTTCTGCCGTCGCGTTGAACACGATGACGTCGTCAATGTAACAAAGGGCTTCCTTCATCCCCCTCAGCACCGCATCCATGACCCACTGGAACAGGAGCGAGGCATTCTTCAATCCGAACGCCATCCGATTTCACTCGTACTCCCCATCCGGCCCGTGAAAAGTTGTCTTGGCCTTGTCCCCCTCGGCTATAGAAATTTGGTTAAATCCCTGCCGCATATCCACCACTGTGACTCCTTCGTAGCTGCGGTGGTCGTTAGGTTCGGTGTCATCGTTGCGCAGTTGCAGCATCCCAGCTCTTTGAGTTTACAGACGAATGTGTCCCGATGGCTCGCCAGCAAGATCTCCACAATCTCTCTCTGTTTCCCCTGCAGTCCTTCCTCTATGTCCCAAGCTGGTTGTTGCTCCTCTCGCTTGGGCTCATTCTTCCCCCTGTTTGCCGCTTGTTCCGCCTCCTCTGGCTCTCTTGCCTCTCCTTCCCTTACTGGCGCGGTTCCTGCCCCATGCGTCACATCGAACGCCATGAACACAACTCCTATGGGTGGCCAGTAAGGCGGGTCGAAAAATTCTCCTTCCATATCGAAGTCCGAATCATCAAATTCCTCTTACGTATCCCCTCCTCCTTCCTCTGCGCTCCCCGCCACTTCCATCCCCTCCTCCTCCTCCTCCTCCTCCTCCTCATCCTCCTCCTTCTCCTCCTCCTCCTCCTCCTCCTCCTCTTCCTCTTCCTCTTCCTCGCTCTCTTGTGGGTCCGCATACCTCCCTTAAATGCCCGCCCTATCATCCCTCCAACTGGCGCGCCTCTTCTCTTCTGGGATTCCCCGCCACAACTGGTTTTCTTCCTTCTCCTCTAGTCCCCCAAGCATCGTCTACGCCTCCATTTGCATGTTCGCCACCAGCTGCGTCTGCGGCCTGCTTAGTGTCGCTTTGCCAATGCGACGTTCTAGCCACTTCCTCTCCAGATGGTTGTACATAGCCGTAAACAGCCAGTCCAGGGCGTTGAGGTCCAATGCCCTGCCCAGCACCGCCTTCTAATCCTTCTCGATCATTTGTGGGCATGCCGTAGCCCCTACCATGAATCCCATAGCCAGCTCTCGCTCTTGTGCAATCGGTTCCTCCCATTCTCCCCTTGTCTAGTCGTACACCATCCCAGGGCCAGCCACCCCCTCCATTTCTATGAATCCTCTTGCTCTCTCAAGTGACACCAACGTGGGCCAAGCCTGACGTGGTTCCCCCACCTTATTACAAGAGTTCTAAGTCGGATGATCAGGTTGTGTCACTGGGGCCGCTAGCCTCCCTGGGCCTCTCCATTCGGGATAGTTGATACCGCACCGATGCCTCAGGCACCACATTTTGCCAATATTTCCTGGGTCAGTAGGCTCTGCTCTCAGGCCACACCTGCCCCCAGCTCCGCCGTAATCTCGTCATTGGTAGTCAGCCATGTCGACGTTCTCGATGATGTAGGCCACTTCCCCTTGCCTCTTCTTTATCGATTTCAGCACGCTCACCAACTCGCGGAATCGGCCGCTCCGCTCGTCTGCAATCCCTCTCCCCTTTCCTGCCCGCGAGTAGCCTTGACAGCCCCAAAATGCGATCACCAGGTCGATCTTCCCCCACTGTGAGATGAGCCCGTTGTCTACCTCCTTTACTCCTCTACACAACCACTCCGCCCCCCTCTCTGCCGCTCCTTCCATACGCTGCTCGTGATACCTTGCTTTCAGGAGCATGATATGCTGTGTCGCCATCAGATTCGTGTGGTCGTCATTAACCACGTACATGTAGGTGCAAAATGTCCGCCCTGCCTCAGGACTGCTGCCAGGCCCGTTGTTATCCCACCGTATAGCTCTAGCAAGAACAAGGCTTCTGGAATGTTTGCAGGTTCAACTGCGGTTCCTTCAAGTTGTCACTCGCTCCCCATATTTCCTCGTAATTCTTCCTTGCGGCTACCGTCTGATCCATCTCGTGGTTGACATCGTTGTCGTCGTCGGGATCACGGTCGAGGGCTGATGCCGCTGCCTCATCTTTTGGAGAGGCGAAGCTCCATCCATTGTTGGCGTAAGCTCGGGTGGCTCCTGCATGCTGATCTACCATCCACTCCTCCAGGGTGAGTCGCTTGTGGAAGAGGATGTCCCACGCAGATGTCCAAAATCAGCTAGCCCTTGTATTTATAACTGAGTCCCAGATGAACTCCCTATCGCGCGCGTTCTATGATTATGCCAATGGTAGCAGATGCCAACCTGTATTGCACTATGCACCCCCAGACCCTCAGCATGGAGGTGTCTCCCTTGCCCTGTTCCACTTCATGTATGGTGAGAGTTTGCCCCTGTTCACTGTGGTATACAGAAGGCTGTGAAGCTGCATGGCGTGATTCATGGCGTACGGCTAGTAGTTTTTCGGGATGCCAGACTCATTCATGAGGGCGCGGACCTTCGTCATGAAAGCACGGTTGACTCTCTCAGCAACTCCTTGTTCCTGTTGGGCATAGGTGAGTGAAATGTGGTGTTTGATCCCCTTTTTGGTAAGGAAGCTCTGCAGCTCGTTGCTGCAGACTTCCTTGGCACCGTCGATCTGCCAAATCATTCAGCTTCTTCCCCGATCCCCATTGAGCATGTGCCAGCCAGATGCAGAAAACTTATGGAGCCTTGGAGCGAAGGTCAACGTTAGCAACCTAGACATAGCGTGAGTACGCGTTGATGAAGGTAAGGGTGTTGTTCTCGTCGTTGACTCCTCCGTAAGTTGTCATAATAAAGTCGTTGTAGACTTTATGCACCTTCTTGTAGCTGTTGGTGCTTGGTTCCAATGAGGGGTAAGCTTGGTGTGTGAGGTCAGCAGTGGGGCAGATGGTGTAGGTTTGAGGCTGTGTGATGCTGCTTGGTTCCGTGCCGTCGGGGCGTGGCAGTGCTCTTGGCAGGAAGACTTTGGCGGTGAGGCAGTTGTTGAATGTCTGGCGTGAGGGTTGGCCGAGTCGCTGGTGCTAGAGGTCATCTTCTACGCGGAACCTGGGGGTACGTAGGTATCATGCTTGGAATGCAGCTGATTCTGATTCGGTTCCATAAAGGATGCTGAGCACATGCCCTTATTCTTCTTCTGGTTCTGCCTCTTCTTCCTCCTCTGTTTCTGGTTCTGCTGCTGTTGTTTCTCTTTCTCCTTCTGGAGGCATGGCTGTCAGATAAAGTGAGAGGAAGTTGCGGTCGGGGATGATGTTGCAACATTCTCGAGTGGAAACTAGATCTTGTGACAGCCACATTCAATCTCTAACCAGGTAGATTTCCTGATTTAAGGTGAGGTAGGCAGTGACGGGGGGTTGGGCAAAGGTCGCCCGAGGGGAACTACAACTCTTGGTGGGGTCCGCGCAGTGGCGATTTCTTTCTCTGCCTCCTCTATTTCTTTGTGGGTGAGCTTCCCTTGATCCCCCCCCAAGCTCTGACATTGCTCCAGCCTCCTCTGCCGGTGCCTCCGCCAATGCCGAAGCCGGTTAGTTGAGATTTGTTTCTTCTTCACGCCATTCCAACGGAACTTGTCGCTGATCATGATGGTGAGGCGGGCTTTTCCGCGGCTGTATTGGTATCTCCCAGTCCTGTCGGTTCTCGTCCACATAGTAGTAGTGGTTGTCTGTGAGGGGATTGTTTTACCCCAGTTCAAGTTGAATTATTTATTCGGCGGGCACTTCGTCTTTGTCAGACGTAGTAGCTCGTGGACTACGGCGTGTTGCCATGTTTGCCATTATGTTTCTTGTTCCTCCTGTTTGAGATGCTTGTCCCTGCTGGTGTTGCTGCTGATGAGCAGGTGGACGGGGAGCTTGATGTTGAGGCTGGAACTGACGAGTGTCATGTCGGCCGACCCAGTTGTTTTGGTGAGTGGAATTTGCGTGGCGATTGTTGGACCGGTATATGCATCTGTCTGTTGAGTATCCGAAGAATTTTCAAAATTTGCAATAGCAGCGCCATGGTTGTCGTCGCTATTCACGGTTGTCGGTGTAGAAGGCGACGCTCTTGGCGCGGCACTGGGCCGGTCTTGCTCGAGTTCATGTCTTGTTGTTCAGTGAGGATTACGGCGCATAGAACAGCTTCCGGGATTATCCGCCTCTGTCGAGGTAGCGCCTTGTAGGGCTTCCACTCACGCCCGAGTCCTTGGAGCACGATGTTGATGAAGAATATCTTCGAGATTGCGCTTCCGTGCTTCATGATTTGATAACGAATATTTCAAAAGTGATTAATATATGAATTCGCTTTCTCACTGTGCCCCATTGCGGTTTCCATGAGTTGCTGCAGAAGCATGCTTGAGGTGATTGTGTCTTTCGGCTGATATACCTCAACGGGGTGCTTCCAGGTTTCAAATGCTAGAGCATTGCTCTCATTGTAGGAGCGAATGCCGAGTTGTTCAGTAGCACATTGTACGCCATAACAGACTCGCTATAGTAATGAGCATGGGCGTCTTCGGTGTCTTCCACTGTTTTGGAATAGGAGCTGTCATCATGATCCCCCTTTCCCCCCTCACCTGCGCACAGCCCGCGCCTTCCGTGTGGCACTGCTCGGGCGAGCCTGCCTCGCCTCCCCTCCCCGCTGCTCCCCTTGCCGCACTCCTTGTTGTTGCTTCTGCTGGCACTGCTGGCGGTGCCACTGCCGGTGGTGCCATTGCCGGTGGTGCCACTGCTGGTGTTGCCACTATTGGTGGTAGCACTGCTAGTGGTACCCCTGCGAGTGGTACCCCTGCGAGCAGTACCAGTGACATTGGTTTCTCTGCTCCGGTGGTGGCCTCTAGCAGGAGCAGCATTGGCGCGCTATCTCAATCCAAGGCGTTCTACGCTGGTGTGCAGAGTGGCCGTAACATGTGGTGACCTGACGTGGAGAGTGGGGGTAGAGTGTGCTAAGGTGTGGAGAACGTGGGGAACAAGGATGATGAAATCAGACAACACATAGAACAAACATCATGTCTTGCATGCTGCACTTCTACCTGCACCCTTGCAACTCTCTACGCCCCTCAACACCCTTTAGCGCTCTGCATTCCGTCATCCATTTGCTTCCCTGTCATGCTCCACTACAGCCGCACCACTGCCAAGGGTGCAGCAGCGGCAGCGGCTGAGCAGCAGTGGCAGCGGCTACACTTGAGCTTGCGAGGGCTCTAATGTCCCTGTCCTCATTCTCCTATCCAACACCCATCACCTCACAACCCTGTGGTCCTCTGCCCTCTGCTCTCCCTTTCGAATCCCTCTATTGCCACCTCTGCCCCCTCTGTCGCCACCTCTGCCCCGTGTTGCCTACACTGCGCACCGAAAGTCAGCTTTGGATTTCAAATGCGCATTCAAGGAGCACTCTCCTGGCCACTTCCAAGCATTCTCAGGATTCTCGTTTAGGATTCTCAGAACCATCTTTGCCTTCCCGTACACTCCTGCAGTCCCCTCGGCGCTCATGCCTGTGCTCTACCCCACTGCAGTAGCCCAACTGGGCAGAGCAGCCAAGGGAGGCGCCACCGTCTCTGTCTCCTCCATGTGAGTGATTGCTGTCCCTCCACGTGGGTGCCTGTCTGTCCCCTCCACGTGGGTGCCTGCCTGTCTCCTCCAATCGGGTGCCTGTCTGTCCCCTCCACGTGGGTGCCTATCTGTCTCCTCCAATCGGGTGCATGTCTGTCCCCTCCACGTGGATGCCTGTTTGTCTCCTCCACATGGGTGCCTGTCATCTCTACGCGAGTGTAGTTACAACCCGCGGTAGTGCGCTATCACCATACATGTTTGCTCCACGTGAGTAGCGCCACTGCTATTGCGCCACTCTAGCATGCCGCTATGTCTCTGTCCGAACCTGCTCGAACCAACTACAGCATCGGCAGCCCCTCTTATCAACCCTCCATATTCTTGCCTCATCTCACCCTAGTAAACGGCTCTCCTTCCAATATGCATTGCCTTGTAATCTCTCCACAACCCCCTCGGCCATCTCTTGCTACCATGATCCCGTTTTTCTTCCTGCCTCTCCCCCTTTTGCACCACTACCTTTAGGAGAATTTAGTACCGCTGCTTTGATCGTCAACCCCTCCCAATCTATCTGTTATTCCTTCCCCCTTGTCTCCCCCTCGCAGCAACACTCTCGCCAAGATCAACTACCTCATCATCGTACTTAGCCCCATTCAACCCCTCCGATTGGTCAAGGTCTCTCTCTCACCCCCCCCCCCCCCCCCCCCCCCCCCCTCCTCCTCTCCATCCATCCCCTCCACCTCCTCATCCTCTTCCTCCCCCACCTCCTCCACCACCTCCTCCTCCACCTCCTCCACCTCCTCCTCCACTGCCTCCACCTCCTTTCTCTCCCTCGCTTGCACGTGGGTCGCCCCCCTCCCTTCGATGTGGGTCTGTCAAGGAACAGCCATGGCGGCTCTGGTCTCCCCAGCAGCCAAGGCGGTGGCAGCGCTGCCAGCACTGCCGGCAGGGCAGAGGAGTGCATTTGTGGTTGGAGTGAGCGTGGGCGGGGGGGTCGCTGCGACCCAAGTGGCACAGGGGGCGTTGGTGCGAGTGGTGGAGCACTTGCAGTGAAGTAATGGTGCGCTATTGTCTCCATGTAGCCAGGAAAATGCGGCATGGCTCTGGATTGTTGTGAGCTACCAACAAGCATTTCATAAGGCCCTGCTGGATCTTGTTGGGACCTGGTGCATGCATTCAAGCATATGAAGGCTCAAGCTGGATGTTTCTAACGCTGCATTAGTGCAGGCACTCTATGTGCCTTGTGCATTGAGTGCCTTAGCAAGAAATAAATCCTGATATGCAGAACTCGAAAGCTGATGTGTCTATAATGGCGTCATCTCATCTATTTCATCCCATTGCGAGAATGACAACATGCATCTGGGTGGGCCCGTTGCGAGTGGGAACAAGCAGCAACAGTGAGGTTATCGTCTTTGTTGAGTTGACCGTCTTTAAAAGCTGGCGCGTTGAATCTGAGACTACACAAAAATCCACACATCTACTTTAGCCTATTCTCTTCTCAGTACATGTGATACTACGTGTTACGTTTAAATGTGGCAGTGTGACTTGGCGACGTGCAATACGAGAGAGACATCACTCATGATCCACACTACCTAGTCATTAAAAGTTTCCGATTGCATACAAGCGATCTGCGTTTGAGATGTCATCCAACGTACGCAATTTCGAGGTGTCGCAATCGTTTGAGACACACGTGTTTGAGACTTGAGCTCGCAAGAGAGTACCCAAACGGTGAGAGTGGAAAAGAACGGATGAGAGCGGAGACGAAGGGAATGAGAGCTGGAGGAAGGAATGAGAGCTGGGAGGAAGGGATGAGAGCTGGGAGGAAGGGATGAGAGCTGGGAGGAAGAGATGAGAGCGGACGAAGAGGGAAGAGAGGACGAGAGGAGGGGGAGAGGAGCGCAAACATTTTGAGGCGAGGTGGCGGCGATGAGACGACACGGCCAGGGCGTGACGCGACGCGGAGGGTGTTTTGGCGAGGAGGCGAAGGGGTGACGAGGCTGCGTTTTTAATCTGTGAGGATGGAGAATGGCCGAGCAGCGGATTTCGCTACCGCAGCGAAAAATTGGGACGCCCAAAATCTGTCAACATTCGGCATATCTGGTAGCCATGCGCACTGGGGCATGGCTTCAAAAGCTGTATGCGCTCCCGAAGCAAATTTTGCCTGCCAGGCATTGCCTGTGCACTATCACTATAGCTACAACCAATGCAGCCCCTCTCACACTGTGTGTCCTGGAGGTGTTGGTGTACGCGCTGCTAGCTTCCTTGTCAACAACGATACACTGTAGCATCCGATAAAAGTAAAGAACAGAGTGTTGCACCGGTGGTTTAACAATGATAGTAACGTCAAACATAATAAATTAAGATTAAAAACACCCATACAGCAACTGCTCGCCAGACAGTGGACCCCTCCGAGCTACGATTTCACCCAAATGGAAAGAAATTGAATACAGAGGCATAGTTGTACAGGTGGAGGAGGCATCGTTTGATCGCAACCTGTCGCTGCACAATGTGATCAAGAAGCGAATCAGCAGCCACGCCGGGGAAGTGGGGCAGCAGTTTGCTCGACTCTCCACCCTTCTCAAGAAGTCATGTGAGTCTTTCGTCCTCTGAACAAGCTGCCTCCTCCCCCAACCAACCTATCGCTGCACAATGTGATCGAGAAGCGGATCAACAGCCACGCTGAGGAGGTGGGGCAGAAGTTTGCTCGCCTCTCCACTCTCCTCAAGAAGTCATGTGAGTGATGCTGCCCCTCTTGCTCCCAAAAAATTGCTTTCCTCTCCCACCAAGTTGCTTTCCTCTCCCCCATTCTCAAGCCTGGTTGTGATGTGCCCCTTCCCCACCACCAACCTTTCGCTGCACAATGTGATCAAGAAGGGGATCAGTAGTAGTTTGCAGTAGTTGTGCCGGGGAGGTGGGGCAGTAGTTTGTCCACCTCTCCACTCTCCTTAAGAAGTTATGTGAGTGTGCCCCTCTCCCATTCCCACCCTCCCAATGCCTGTTTGCTCCACCCTGCGCTGCCCCTTCATGTCAAAATAGATTTATATCTATTTAGGATATTTTGCCTGCAGTGTTGTTGTTGTGTATTGCTCTTGTTTGGTGGTGCACCTCTTTCACCTTTTGCTTGTTTGCTATATGTACTCTTCGTGCTATAGTGAACTCATCCATTCTCACTTTCGCTTGGCACAACTCTTTAGACACCCGCTTGGCCTAGGCTTAGGATCCTAGGCCCTAAATCCGGTTCCTAGTTAACTTAGTATCGTAACATGGTATTGAGCTAGGTCGTTCCCGACCTAATTTCCTAAGGGCCCACCGTTAGCTTTCGCGATGGCGCGTCCCGTCAAGCAGCAAATCACGGCTCCGTCCGTCCCTCCCCGTCGCTCGCCCATAGCAAAATCCATCACGGTAGTCGTGACAGACGTAACGGTTGCAGCGGGAGTGACGGCGCTTGTCGACCCGCTGTTTAGCGCCGCTGCTCTTCCCCCCCGTCGACCCCTCGACCCGCCACTGCATTCCCCGCCGCACTTCCCCGTCACGCTGCCTTGTCGCGGCTCCTTGGCGTGGAAACATCGACGATCGCTGTGGGGGGGGGGGGGGAGAGGAGAAGGGGACAGGGGTGGCGGCCATCACTTGAGCATCAGCGCCAGCCCGCGTTTCGTCCCGTCCCGCTCCGTCCCCGCCCGCCCTCCCGTCGACGTCGACTTCGCAGCTGCTGTGCAGGGAGTGGCGGGAATGGCGGGCGTGGCGGGAATGGCGGGAGAAGCTACTGCTCCGCCCATGCATTCTCCAGATCGTACGCGACGTGCAAGCCCGCCAGCAACGCGTCACCAGCAGCCCACCAGCGACGACCGCCATCGACCGTCGCCGGCGCCAGTTCGTCCGCGCCCAGCACGCACCCAGATCATTGCCCCGTACGCACCCTGCCTCCTGCTCGCCTACTGTCGCCCGTACACACCTCGCCACCCGCTCGTCCCCTCGTCGCGGCTGCTCGTGTGTGCAGTGACGGTAGCTGTGGGAAGAGAGGGAAACGCGAAGGGCGTGGTGGCGGACCGACTGCCAGCTCGCCAACCGTCCGCGCAGATCCCGCCCCGTGGCCATCCCGTCGTCCCGCCTCATCCCTGCCCTGCCGTTAGATCCCGCTCCGTTTCCAAACGGAAGGGGATGTGGTGGTGTGTTGGCCCGTGGGGGACGGCTGGGGAGGGGGAGTGGGGGTTGGCAGTTCATGAGGGGGGAGGAGTTGGGGACGGGGATGGTGGGCGGATGTCAGCAGCGACCGCCAGCGCCAGCAGCACCTGCTGCCGCCCAACACGGCATCACAGGGGGTTGAGTGTGCTGGGGTGGATGGAGTACCTGTTGCAGCCTCAGCTGCCTCCACATTTCCCTTCTCCCCTCGCTCTGCCGCTGCTGCTGTGGGGGGGAGGTTCAGGGGGTGTGCATGGTGAACGTTCAGCTGCAGCATCAGTCGCCTCCTCCTCCTCTCATCCCCTGCCCCATGTTCTCCCGTGTAGTTTCCTCTGTTCCCCGTGCTTGCCCCGTGTCCCTGCCTACCCATGCGTCCGTTACTACCCGTGTCCTACCCGTGTTCCGGTGTTCTGCCCGTGTCCTACCCGTGATTTGGTGTTTTGCCCGTGTTCTGTCCATGATTCTGCCCGTGAATATACCCCTGATTCTGCCCGTGATTCTCCCCGTGTGCTGCCCGTGTTTTGCCCGTGTTTTGCCCGTGATCCTGCCAGTGATTCTGCTCATGATTCTCCCCGTGTGCTGCCTGTGTTTTGCCCGTGTTCTGCTCGTGATCCTGCCCGTGATTCTGGTCGTGATTCTGCCCGTGATTCTGCCCATGATTCTGCCCGTGATGCTTCCCGTGCTGCCCCGTGCTCCCGTGCGTCCCGCGCTGTTCGTGTCGTGCCTGTGATTCTGCCCGTAACTTTGCCCGTGATTCTGCCCATGTTTCTGCCCGTGACTCTGACCGTGATTCTGCCCATATGCTGCTGCGTGTTCCCGTGTGTCCTGTGCTGCCCCGTGCCCCGTGCTCCCAAGCATTCCGTTCAGCCCGTGTCCGGCCTCGTTAGCGGATAAACCTTCAACCAACAGCACATTTCCCAGCCCCACAAGCCCCCCATTAGCTCCCATAACCTTGGCATTCCCAACACCAATCACAGGGAGCAAAGCACCTGAAGCGGCAGCCACAAACTTTATCTTCCCAGGGGGCTTCACCTCATCAAGCAAATCTGCCCGTGGAGTCATGTGACTTGTGCAACCTGAATCGATCACCCAGTGAGTGAGGGGGTGCATCACAACCTTCCCAACCGAACCCACATCATCCTCACTCCCTTTCACTTCCTCAACCATGAGGAACAGCCCAGGGTCAGCTTTACCGTGTGCACCATCACCTTGTGCACCTGAACCTTGCACAGCACCACCTCGTGCACGTTCACCACTTGGCGGCTTCATGCCTGGAGGTGCCCATCCCTCAGTCCGGCTGAAACACTTGAACCACGTGTGTCCAAACTTCTTGCAGTACCAGCACGCACCCTCCATTCGGGTGCTCCCCCTGCCACCAGAGCTCCCATGCCCCTCGTTGTAGTCACCTCGGCCTCTTCCTCTGCCAAAGCCTCTCCCACGGCCTCGGCCTCTCCCTCCCTCTCTTCCTCTGCTGCCTCCTGCAGCTCCATACCCCTCAGCAGTTTTGTTGGCAGCACCACCTCCCGTGTGGCGCCTGCGGAAGTCCTCCTGCAGGATCTGCTGCCGTAGCCACTCAGGCTTCCATTTGTCCTATTGAACGTTGAGGGTGGGGATGAGGTTGTCCCACGAGCTGTCGAGCACCGAGATGATCTTGGTGCACTGCTGCATCTCCGACACCTTGCTGCCCGCCGCTGCCATCGTCGCATAGGTGTCCTTGATCTTGTCAAGGACCGGTTTCACATCGTCTCCCGGCTTCATGGAGAGGGCAGCCAGCTCCTTCTCCAACACGATCACCATTGGCAGCGTGTTGGGTTGTACCACGTCGCGTAGCAGCTTCCATGCCTTCGGTCCGGAGTCGTCCAGCTCCACCAAATCCTTGATATGCTGGAACATATCGTTGTTGACCGACTGAAAGATGAGGTCGTACAGCACCGCGCTCTTCTCAATCCATTTGTCGCGGGCATCACCTTCCTCCGGCATCTTCTCTTCTCCCATCGCAAGTTTTAGCAGCTTGTAGCGCTTGAAAGCGCTCCGCATCCGCCCGCTCCATTCCTCATAGTTGGAGCCGTCCAAAGCCTCGATCTTGGACGGTGGCGGTTCACTTTTCTTCTCAGCTCCTTCTCCACTCATCTCCTCTGCTCCCAATCAGAGGTTTCAGCTCCCACTTTGCTGTCCACACCGAAGTCTCACACAATTTCCACAAGTGTCGGCGCCAACGAAATTTCGGCATAGTTTCCCTTTAGCGGAAGTCACATGCAACCTCCAGAACTCCACTTAGGCACGCCCACAGGCCATGGTGGGTCTAAGAGGGTCTTCACACTTCAGTAGACTCTCCACAAAGTCCTTAATCAGCTCTGATACCACTTGTTAGAGACTTAGGACGGAGTCTATGAAGATTAGGTGCCGAAATAACACAAAATCGTCGGTCTCAATTTCTGGACAGAAACCGCGACTTCACAAGAAACGTCGTCGGCTAAACTTGCACTGTTGGAATTGTCACAAACTCGAGTATGTTGTAGCCTGTAACCAGGGCTATCTTTCCCAATTTGAAACGTATCAAATGGTGGAGTAAATCTTGAGTTATGATTTTCGGCGCACTAGTGGGTATGCTGCCACATGCTTAACTTAATCATAATAGTTCTCACAAGTTCCACAAAGTTGCACACAAGAGAGTTGGAGTAGCACTAAACCAGGTAGGAGGGAAGAGGAGGACGAAAGGGAAGGTCCCAAGGAGCCCCCAACCAAAGGAAACCCCATGCCACACAATTTCCTTCCCCATAGGTAACCCCACTTTCACATTTGTCACTTTCCCAACTCATGCCATCCACCTCAACCCACTTGGCCACACTTGCCAGCCTGGTTTGGCTTCACCCAACCACATGGCAGCATTCTACAGTGATGGGTTCGAATTTCCCAACCCCCAAAAGTCTGTACCCGGTATGGAGTCAACCCCACAATTTCCCATAGTCACCACAACCAAATATCAAAACCACACGAACTTCCAACGTTCGTGACTTTCTTGTTCGTGCTCCAATTGAAGCGATACTTGGTTCGTCGGAAAGCTCTTGAGCAGTGGAGTCACTTCAGATATCTGCTCAAACCAAATAACATTCACACACACTCAGAAAGTCCAAACCACACAAAACACAAATTCTTGCGCACGCTCACACCACGCATGCAACACACGAACACTTGATGGAGGCAGACAGACGTGAATGCATATGGTTGCATCACAACATGCTGCCCGTGTTTTGCCCGTGTTCTGCCCGTGATCCTGCCAGTGATTCTGCTCATGATTCTCCCCGTGTGCTGCCTGTGTTTTGCCCGTGTTCTGCCCGTGATCCTGCCCGTGATTCTGGTCGTGATTCTGCCCGTGATTCTGCCCATGATTCTGCCCGTGATTCTGCCCGTGATGCTTCCCGTGCTGCCCCGTGCTCCCGTGCGTCCCGCGCTGTTCGTGTCCTGCCTGTGATTCTGCCCGTAACTTTGCCCGTGATTCTGCCCATGTTTCTGCCCGTGACTCTGACCGTGATTCTGCCCATATGCTGCTGCGTGTTCCCGTGTGTCCTGTGCTGCCCCGTGCCCCGTGCTCCCGAGCATTCCGTTCAGCCCGTGTCCGGCCTCCTTTTGTCCGTGTCCTGCCCTGTTCTGCCTGTGCTGCCCCGTTGTGCCTGTGTTGCCTCGTTATACCCGTGCTGCCCCGTTGTGCCTGTTTGTGCCCTACTCGTGCTGTCCGTACCCGTTTGTGCCCCACCCGTGCTGTCCGTGCCCGTTTGTGCCCCACCCGTGCTGTCCGTACCCGTTTGTGCCCCACCCGTGCTGTCCGTACCTGCTCGTGCCCCACCCGGTCTGTGGTGCCCGGCCCCGTGCGGCCCGTCCCGTCCAGCACCTAGTTGTTACCTGATACCACTACCAGTACCCGTGCTCCTCGCACACCGTGCACCTGCTGCGGGGCGTTCCACAGCCGGGCATCTGTTCCACCGCGGTGGTACAGCTGCTGGTTGGTGTTTGCTGCTTGTCAGCTTCAGAGGGGGCCCCTTGCTGGTGTTCCCACGCCTAGTAATGGGGTTTTACATGTGTACCCCTTCAAGGGGGCCTCTGCACATGGTTATGCACTTCAGGCAGATAGGGGGTGTGTCAAAATAGATTGATATCTATTTAGGATATTCTGCCTGTAGTGTTGTTGTTGTGTATTGCTCTTGTTTGGTGGTGCACCTCTTTCACCTTTTGCTTGTTTGCTATATGTACTATTCATGCTATAGTGAACTCATCCATTCTCACTTTTGCTTGGCACAACTCTTTAGACACCCGCTTGGCCTAGGCTCCTAAGCTTAGGCCCTAAACCCGGTTCCTAGTTAACTTAGTATCATAACACTTCATTGTCTCTCGCTCCTGTTTCTGAGTTTCAACCAAGACAGAAAGAAGGTGTGGTGGCAACCATTCCAGCACAAAGGAACGACAACAAGGAACATCTGCATATTCTACGGCAGCCTTAGGGCAACTCCTTGCGGCATCGGCCAGCCCACCTGTTAAGATACCAGAGGCCAGGAGCCACAAACGACTCCACCATGTGCACGGTTCTCTGCACGGACGTGACCGGCACAAGGTCGTAGCTCAGCTCGTCATCAGAGGGCCGCATCCTCATGGAGCCAGTGCACTCGTCTTCCTGGGAGGGGTACCACTGCCTCACAAAGGCCACGGCCTATCACGCGGGGTGTGCATCCTCGCTATTCATCACCAGCGTCAGGAGAAGGTGCACGTGGCCGTGCACGGTCTGTCAGAATAGTAAAGAGGGATGGATCAACTAGCAGCAGGATGGGTACAAGTAGCTAACCCTAATTGGGTTGCACCCCATATGGGCTACCCCACTACAGCCTACACAATCAACTGCATATAAGTTTGACACACCCCCATAGGCAAAGTGGGGGAGAACAAGAGGTCACAAGACCAATCAAGAGAGGCAAAACAAGCTCAGGGTGGATCCTGAAGTCACCACACAATCTGAGCACAAGCAAATGGCCACAAGGCCAGTTCACAAGCAGAGTTATATATAAGGAGAACAAGCAGTACAGTGATCACAACCTAGCAAGTGTACGCATGCAGGTGCAAGTATATAGATCACAGTACAAGCAAAGTCAAGAAGTGAGCAAGTGAGGCAAAGAAGGGACAAGGCCTAGAGCAGCACAGAAATGCTGATGATCACAAGGCGGAAGTGCCTTGGTGAAGATATCAGCTGTGTTGGCCCGCGAGGCCACGTAAGCAAGACGAAGCTGACCACGCTGCTGCAACTCTCGAGCAAGGAAGTAGCGTTGAGCTATGTGCTTCGTTCTGTGCTCCACTCTGTGCTCCTGACACAAGGCAATCATGGCCTTGTTATCAACGTACAGAACAGGAGGAGAACGAGGCAGCTCTCCCAAGTCGGTCAGCAGGTAGGTGAGCCAGCATAACTCTTGTGCACCCATGGCCCCTGCGTAGATCTCAGCCTCACAACTGGAACTGAGAACAAAAGACGAGCGAGTAGACCGCCACGAAACAGAACCAAAGCCAAGACTGAAGGTGTAACCCTGTGACGATCGCTGCGTAGCCAAGTCGTCAACCCAAGAAGCGTCTGCGTGACCAGTGAGGACAACTCGAGCCCGTCCTCCAAGCACGAGCCCCATGCCCGACGTACTACACAAGTAGCGCATCACCCTCTTAGCGGCCTTCCAGTGCTCTGGTTGGTGTCCCCCATGCGCAACGTAGCATGCCAAGATGTTAAGAGGGTAAGCAAGGTCAGTCTGAGTGTAGGTCATCTGGTACATGAGGCAGCCCACAAGCTCTGGATACGGGCCACTCGGCTCTACGGACTCATCCGAAGGCAGAGCTAAGAGCGAGTGACCGGTAGGCAGAGGAGTGGCTTGTGTCGAGGAGTACTAGAAGTCGAAGCGCTGAAGGACCTGCTGCACCATGTGTGACTAAGTCAGGGTGATGGTGCGGCGTGCTCTATCCCGCGTGACCTGCAAGCCAAGATAGCTGCGCAGCTCACCTAGGTCTGTGCACGTGTGTCTCTTCTGCAGCTCCGACTTCACGTGGGCCAGTCCAGCAGTGTCAGTAGTGGCAAAGACCAAGTCGTCGACGTACACGAGGATGTAGAGCGGCGGCAGCGAAGTGTCAGTGCGTAGGAACAGCAACGGGTCAGCAGTAGAAGGAGCAAACCCAAGAGCCGCAAGAGTCGTCCTCAGTGTATCGTGCCACTCACGAAGCGCCTGGCGGAGACCGTAGACTGGTCGCCGGAGGCTCCACTGGGTACCAGGAGGAAACAACCCAGTGAAGCCAGGTGGGCGGTGCAGCCAGATCTCCTCGTGCAGGCTGCCCTGTAGGAAAGCAGTGCTGAAGTCAAGAGAGTGAAGCTCGTAGTCACGCTGAGCAGCAATGTGCAGCAAAACCCGAAGAGTGGTCATCTTTGGGGTCAGGGAGAAGGTCTAGAAGAAGTCAACTCCCTGTCGTTGTCTGAAGCCTCGAGCAACGTAATGCGCCTTGAAGACAGGCGGAGAACCCGGTGGCCGCTTCACCCTGAAAATCCACATGCCACTGACGATGTTCGCCCCAGGAGGGGGGACCTCGTCGACGTAAGTGCCTGTGGACTTCCAGGATGCCATCTCTGCGTCCATGGCTGACTGCCCTTGAGAGGAGTAGGGACCCTCTATCGCCTCTGCGTAAGAGCGCGGGGTCGGGATGTCTGGTGCATCCGGATCTCCCTCATGTGCAATCAGCATGGACACGCGATGAGGTACAGCAGCTGCAAAGCACTCAAAGTCCTCCTGCCTGTCCTCAAGGACGTCCGTGCCAAGAGCAAACTCACCCCCTAAGGATGGAGGACAGACAGACTCAGACTCAGCAACAAGGCTAGTAGACTAAGGCAGATGCAGCAGTGGACTCAAAGGAAGGGTCAGTGACAACAGTGGCCTGTAGAAGTGTGACAGTAGGACTAGCAGCACGAAGGGAGTCAGACTCCGAGTCAGCAAGGTCTGGAAGAGAGGATGCAGGAGGAGATGGTAGAGGGACACGCTGTGGAGCAGTGGACGGACGAAGTGCCATCTGATGCGTGCCGGGGACAGGAGGAGGACGCGGACGCGGACGACTAGTGCAAGCAGTGCGAACAGGCAACGCAGGACGAGACGCAGGCTCACGACGCTCAGCAAGGCCTCCGGTCGGCTTAGTCTAAGGAGAAGGACCAAGCAGAGGGGAGGGTGGCTGTAACTGCGACTGCGACTAGTCAGGCGGCGGACACAGTAAGGGAGGAGTAGGACCAGTAGAAGGTGGGTGACCAAGAACCTACTGAAGGAGAGGAACGAAGTACGGTCACGGCCGTGAAGCACCACCAGAACCAGTAGAGACAGCTCCAGCACCCCCAGCTCCAAGGTCCCCAGCTCCAACTACTGCAGTACCACTAGCTCTAGCACCAGCAGCACCACTAGATGGAATAGCTCCAGCGCCTCCAGTTCCTTCTCCTGCAGCACCACCAGCAGGACCAGCTCCAGCGCCTCCACCTCCAACTCCTGCAGCACCACTAGCTCTAGCACCAGCTGTACCACCAGCAGGACAAGCTGCAGCGCCTCCAGCTCCAGTAGCACCACGCTAGAGGCTCCAGTGCCGAGCAAACCACTCGCGCAGCTGCAGTGGAGAGAGAGACTCCAGGCTCCGCACCCGCGGGCTCAGCACCCCCCGGCTCATCACCCCCAGGCTCAGCACCCCCAGGCTCCGCACCCTCAAACTCCGCACCCCCATGCTCAGCACCCCCAGGCTCCGCACGCTCAAGCTCAGCACCCCCAGGCCCCGCACCCGCAGGCTCAGCACCCCCAGACGCACCACCTCTAGCAGCACCAGAGTCGACAGCTACCTCGACAGGCTCGACAGGGTCTACCTGGGACACACCTGAGGGAGCAGGACCCTGAGGGGGGAGGGGGTCTACCGGAGGAGGACCTGGTGCGAGGAAGAGCGGCGGAGGAGGGAGAGGGGCAGTGCGGTAGGGGAAGAGATGGTAAAAGGGAACCGACTTGTCAAACGTTACGTCCTGAGAGGGCAGGACATGGCGCGAGGTGGGGTGGTAAAACTGCCAGCCAGGCGCGTTAGGGACAAAGCCAAGGAAGACACAGGGAACATCACGGGAGGAGAACTTGTCAGCGGACGTATCACGGACAAAGGCTCGACATCCCCTGACCCGGAACACCGACGCATCGCCAACCTTCCTCATCCAACGCAGTGTGGGCGAGGTCCCCAGCAAGGAGACACGGGGCCAGAGGTTGAGCTGATGCGCAACGTACTGGACTGCAAACGGCCACAGAAAATGGGAAGCAGCCACATGGATTACGGAGGTACGAGCGACCACCATGACTAAGCCAATGCGGCGCTCAGCAACCCCATTCTGCTGCGGAGAGGCCGGAAGCGTGAACGTCTGGCAAATGCCCTCCGCACGACAAAAGGCCCGCAAGAGGTCGGAGGATAACTCACCACCTCTTTTAGAGTGCAGACGCAGGACTGGAAGGTCCGTCTCGAACCGCTCGCGGAGCTAGAGACGAACAGCGCAGATCCAAGGGATCAGAATATCAAGGACCTCCCCCTTGCGGCGCAAGGGGAAGACCGTGGTGTAACGCGAGTAGTCGTCGACAACCAGCAAAAAGTACCGCTCGTGGCCTTGTCCACAGACGCGGGCTTGGCCTCACACGTCCAGGTGGAGAGTCTGCAAGGGAGCCTCTGTCAAGGGGAACGAGGAGGAGTGGGGAGCGGCGCGCTGCCGCCCCTCGACACAGGGAAGGCAGGGAGGGGCAGGCGAGGGTGGGAGGGGAGGCAGAGACCTGGGAAGACCAGAGACAAGGAGACGGGAGTGCATGCCATGAAGGCGTGCCACAGAGGGGTGACCAAGACGGTGGTGCCAAAGGAGCGTCTGGTGCGACAGGGCGCAACACGAGCAGGGGCCAGCAAGCTGACCTGACGCAGACGCAGACGCAACTACCTAAGGAGGCGTAGTAGTCAGTGTGTACAGACTCGACCCAGGCCGACGGGTGAACGTGGCCAGGTGGCGACCGGTCCGGGAGCACGTACACATCGCCACACGTTGCCGTCCAGGGGTGAAGGTGTCAACCTTTACATCCTGGAGGACAGCTGTGCTCACCAAGTTTGTAGAGAACGAGGGGAGGTGAAGACCTGACAGTGACCCAGACGGAACCGCCGGACAGGGCAGAACAGTGGAGGAACGTGCAAGGACTGGACCCCCAGAGGGGTCAGCCAAAGACACAGCAATAGGTGCAGTAAGTGGTGTGACTGTGGTACTGTCGCGAAAGAATCAGCGGGAAGCACCTGAGTCAAGAGTGAAGGTGTGCAGGGCTGCATTAGACGTAGTACCAGAGAGAGCAGACTCACCAGCACCTAGGGCAGCAGACTCACTAGCACCTAGAGCTGCAGCCTCTATACCTGTGTCTGGCGGCATACACAGGTAATAGTCACCCTCAGCACTAGCAGTGGTGCTGAGTGTGAGACCTCCCGCATGTCTGACCAGTGCGGTCACCTGTGCGAATGACATACGGGCAGGGACCACTACCCCTAGCCGCCCCACACTGAGCAAACCACTCACGGAGCTCCTGAGACGAAAGGGGCTGACGCTGCTGCTGCCGCTTGCCACCTCCAAGGCCTCCCCTCTGGCTGGTGCAACCCTTGCCGCCCCCACTGCCGCCACCTCCACCCCCACTGCCACCACTACCGCCGCCACCACCGCTGCCTCCACCACTCACTGCCGCCACCCCCGCCGCCACTTGCCCCGCCGCCCCCACCACCACTACCGCCTCCACCGCCACCCCCTCCACCGCCTCCACCGCCTCCACCGCCGCCTCCACCTCTGCCGCCCCCACCACCCCTGCCTCCCCTGCCGCCGCGGCGCCTCCCACTAGGGGCAGACGCAGCTCTTGCCTCTTCAGCACGAAGGTAGTCAACAGCTGCAGCAGAGGCGATGGAGGGGAGAAGGGGGGAGGGCGAACACCCCTCAAAGAAGGGGGTGCGAGGAGTGCCACAAGAAGCGCCTACAGCGACTATGCTAGTCTCAGCTACTAGGAGGTGCTTCTCGAGCAGGTCGACAGTGAGGTCGGTGGGGTCAAGTGCTAGGAGGAGGTCCCTGACTGCAGTAAGAGAGTCAAGGAGGCGGGTGACTATGAAGTAGAGTGTGCTGTACATGGGGAGGGGGGGGGGGGGGGTTCTTGGCGAGAATCTCAGCGGGGAGCGCAGCACGGTAGCGAGTGTCACTAGTGCGGAGGTGAGTGACTAGGTCGGCTACCGTGGCAAAGGCAGACAGGTCTGGGAACAGGTACGGCAGGAGAAGGCGGCCTAAAACACCAGTGGCCGGGGAGGAGTAACGAGCGACTACAGCGTCGTACAGTGCTCTCGCTGTCTTATGGTGGCAAAAGTGGGCGCGTTCGGCTAACGGCAGGTGGTTGCGAATGGCTAGGCGAGCAGCAGCGTCACGGATAAGCCACTGTGAGCGGGTCGCACTGTCAGCTGTGGCGTCAAGGACGGGCGAGGCACGAGAAGTGAGGTCGAACATCGAGGTACCGTCCTTAGATTTTGTCAGCAGGAACAGCTGTAAATCGTCTAGCCATGCATCGAACTCTATCGGGCGGCCCTCCGAATCGAATGTGAGAACGTTGAGTGTCGCCATAGCAGGCAGAGCAGTCGAGCGCGCTAGTAGCAGAGCAACACGCTAGCAGTAGTGTAGCAGGAAGTGCGCTAGCTGTACTATAGCAGTAGAGCAAGGTGCGCACGGCAGGGCAGGGCACGGTGCTCAGGTAGGGTGCACTCGCAAGGCAGGGCGCGTGGCGGCGCAGCGCGCAAGCAGGGCAGAGGCGCGTGCGCGGGCAGGGCAGCAGCGCGCGGCGCATGCAGGGCAGAAGCACGCGCGCGGGTAGGGCAGAAGCACGCGGCATGGGCAGGGCAAAGGCGCGCGCGAGGGCAGAGCAGAGGCGAGTGCACGGGCAGGGTAGAGGTGCGCGACATGCTGGCAACGGAGAGGCGCGCGGCAGCGCAGCGCATAGGCAAGGCAGATCCCGCAGCAGCGCGGCGCGTGGGCAGGGCAGGACGCGCGGCGGCGCGGCGCGCGGGCACGGGCAGGGCGCGCGGCGCGACGCGCGGGCAGGGCGACGCGCTGGCAGGGGAGGGGGCGCTGCTGCAAGCGGCGCGCAACTCTTTAGGGCGCGCTGCAGCAGACGGCGCGTAGGCAAAGCAGTGCGTACTGCATCAGGCAGCGCAGGGCAGGGCAGTAGGGCGTGATCACACTAGCGCGACGAGTGGGGTAGCGCTACTCGGTGGGCCCTAAGCGATCGGTCCTAGGCTAGGACCTGCTCTAATACCATGTCAGAATAGTGAAGAGGGATGGATCAACTAGCAGCAGGATGGGTACAAGTAGCTAACCCTAACTAGGTTGTACCCCATATGGTCTACCCCACTACAGCCTACACAATCAGCTGCATATAAGTTTGACACGGTCTCCCCGCTCCCGTCCTCGTACTCAATGAACGAAAATGTGGGAGCACCATGGTGCGAGGGGTTAGCACAGACATAGTGCGGCCTGATGAGGCCGTGGTCCGTCTCGCACGCTGGTAGAGCCTGCGCTGTGTGGACCTGATGAGAGGGGTACGGGAGCAGGAGAGGTGGCAGGGTGGGAGTACGATTGAATACAGGGTGGAAAAGGAGAGCGAGCAGGGTTTAGAGGGAGGTGGACTGGATTACAGAACCGGCAGTACACATGCACGGATATGATTCAAGGAGAGAGGGGAAAGAATTCCCTGCCAGGGTATGTGGGAAGAGGGTGCACGGGGGAATGCAATGGATCAAGGCTTTGAGATGCTTGGGGTTTAGGCATAAACCCATGACCCAGTCCATGTGGACTTGGGATCGAGTGGGAAATATAGTGGGACAGATTCAGGTGTGTTAAGTGACGGAGCATGAGAAGTAATAAGGCTTACCAGGCATGGATAGGAGTGAGATAACGGGTGCTGTTATTTTAACAGCAGAAGCACGCACTTACCCACGTTGGAAAAGAGACGTAGCCAAAGAGGCGCGCCAGGTAGGCGTAGGGCCCGATGCCTCCCGGGATTATGGCATCGTACGTCGCGTACAGGTCCAAGGGAGCCTGCTCCCTGTCATTGATCGCACTGGGCATCCTGGATTACTGGCGGCACAGGTGGGGCAGACCCCCGGCGATCGCCTACCACACGCAAGGGACATGGTGAGCAAAAATTCAAAGGCCAAACGAGCTACAGGGTTCAACCACTAGCGTTCCACACGGAATCCACTAACATATCACCTTATGGACATCATTCCACGATTTTGGATGGGGTTACACGCCTACTTACCCGGCACATCGCGGTGTTGTACTGGCGATCGCCCTCGAGGCTGGTTGGGAGGCGGGTCAGTAGAGCAGCGTTGGTGTTGTGCTGCGCAATCACACGCCCCACGTCCCGATGGTTGGATCGTCGGTACGGCCTCTTGCCGGTGTGGATGTGTGCGTTCTCGTACACCGCCGCGGAGTATTCTCCTAGCAGCCCCCCCCTTCGAATCGCCTCTGTGAGGTGAAGCAGCATGTGCACCTTCACAAGGTTCCACCCAGAGTGCTCGCGCGGAAAGCTGCTTTCCACCAACTGCACCATCCGGAAAGCATGGGATCAAATGGAAACAGTGGCAGACATTAAACGTCACTCCCGCATAGCGCACGCCGGATAACTGCAGCGCATGTGGAAAAGCATACACACAGCATACATGCGATTGGCGGTGTCGAACGCGCTCAGACTCTCATCTGTGTGCTCCACTGCCCGCACGAATGTCTCGTGCCAGTCCAGAAAGGCGACAATCATGCGGCTATAGATGACCGCAACTTCCCCCTCCAGCACGAAGGGTACAATCTGCCACACAGCGTGCGCGTAGTTAACAAAGGCCATATGACAACCGTCTCCAACAATGGATAAGTGTAAAAGACCAAACACTTGAAGGTAGGGCACACCATCATGACACCGGCGTGCTCCGACGCGGTGAAGTTGGCACCAAAGACCCAGTAGCTAGCGTCTCCAGGAGTTAGTAGTCCTGCCTGCCTTGTGCCTGGGTGTAGTGCATTCTGGCGCCTACACCATATGAAGGATGTTGACAGCACATTAGACATCTTGGGCCGCAGTCGCAGTGTGTTTGACCTCGTGAGGTTGCATCACAATGGGCAAATGCCTAGGGGCATACGTACCCGCCTAAGATGGCGGCGCGTACATCGGGGCCCCGCAGTGCAGCACGAAGGTACAGCCAGAACCCAAGGTAGATGATGTGTAGGATGTCTGGCATCTGGGACAGGCAAGTGTTCCCCCAAAGTGTACGGGAGAAGTTCCACTCCCAGAGGAACGACTGCATGCACAGAGAAAAAAGGGGGTAAACACTTGGCCAACTGCATGGGCTGAACAACCAGGCCACGACAGGCGCTTAACTCCAACTTAGAGCCGATACCTACCGCGACACAGAGCGTGGAGTACGTCCTATCTAGCCGAGGATTCGCAATCAGTGATGATTGCTGGTCCACAGAGCGCGACTTCGACACAGCTGCCATCATGTTCCTGAGCTGCCCCCTATCACCGTAGCACAGGGCGCATGGCATCTGACTATCATGCTGCTGAGTGCACAAAACCTTGCAGTTTTCTGGGAAGTTTGCTACATAGGAGAAGAGCAGAGGCCATATGACCTGGTCCACCCCCCATGGATTGCGGGCCGCAATCTTCCTGTGTGCAGTGTAGCACGGAATCAAAAAGGGTTTATGATAGGGCAATACAAATGGAATCCCATCTATAGATGCTAGCGAGGTGAGAGGGGGTAGGGCGGTCATACGCAAAAGCGCAGTGAGGAAAGGGCGGACATACGAACATGCGGTGTGAGGCAAGGGGGGACCTAGGAACATGCGGTGTGATGCAAGGAGAGAATGAGGCAAGGGAGTGTTGAGGCAAGGGCAAAGAGAGGCAAGGGCGGAAAGAGACCAGGTGGGCAGAGCCAAGGGCGGATTGAGGCAATGACAGAAAGAGGCAAGGGCGTAATAAGGCCAGAGCAGACTAAGCGAAGGGAGGACTGCGGCTTTGGCTGGGCCATTGGCTGATGGCACTCACGTGTGTGATGCAGCAATCAGGTTAGCGAGGACCACCTGCATCGCAGCTTGAAAGAGCTGCACCTTCTGCTCGGCCGTCATTCCATGGACAGGCATCGGGAGTAGTGCAAGTAGAATCTTCCCAGAATCACCCCAACGGAGACGGAGGTGGATGTTGGCGAGGCTTAGGTAAACCGCCCAAACCTTCACGCGCTCGTTCCCGCTGAGAATCGTTGCATCACTTGAAAGTATGATGGCTGCCACCACCTGGCCCGGGGCATAAACACCGTCCATGGTGTTCTGCCAACAACAAACACAACATTGGCAGCCATGCACCCGATCAACACAGAAACTGAGCAATGTGGGAACTAGGATTGTGAATCTAGCCCAACAGCATCTGCAATAACCCAGATGAGTGGCGCCTTAAATTACTTACAAAGGAGGTACAACTCAGAAACACCACCAGTACCTGTGCGGCTTCCCACAGATTACCAGTTTCTGGCCTAGTGTACACGCGTCCTGCCACCGAGTGTATCGGACGAGCAAACAGCTGGAAGCCATCTTCATTGTCACGGTGGCCGAATAACTCCACGAATCCCTGCGCCAGAGCGAGGGCGGACAGAGGCAAGGGCGGAATGAGGCAAGGGCGGACAAAGGCAAGGGCGGAATGAGGCAAGGGCGGACAGAGGCAAGGGCGGACACTGGCAAGGGCGGACAGAGGCAAAGGCGGAATGAGGCAAGGGCGGACAGAAGTAAGGGCGGAATGAGGCAAGGGCGGAGAGAGGCAAGGGCGGAATGAGGCAAGTGCAGACAGAGGCAAGGGCGGAATGAGGCAAGGGCGGATAGAGGCAAGGGTGGAATGAGGCAAGGGCGGACAGAGGCAAGGGCGGATAGTGGCAAGGGCGGAATGAGGCAAGGGCATACAGAGGCTAGGGCAGACAGAGGCAAGGGCAGAACGAGGCAAGGGCGGACAGAGGCGAGGGCGGACAGAGGCAAGGGCGGAATGAGGCAAAGGCGGACAGAGGCAAGGGCGGAATGAGGCAAGGGCGGACAGAGGCAAGGGTGGACAGAGGCAAGTGTTGACAGAGGGAAGGGTGGACAAAGGCAATTGCTAACTCAGATTGCAAGTCGTACCTCGATAGGGCTGGTACACATGAGCTCGAATGTGTGGTCGATCCGTGAGATGCGCACTTCTACCTGCCTGTACACCCGCCTCGCCATCATAAGGCGTAGTCCGTACTGACGGCGTGTTTGGTACGCCAGTGGCGAATAGCCTCCAGATCCAGAGGTGGGTCACGCAAGAGCTTGATAAGCCAGACCGTGGCCTTGTCACTCAGGCATTGATCGTCGTTGCATCCGATGACGAAGCGGAAGAACTCCAAGGCAATGTTGAACTCGTTCTCGTCGACAGTGCTGTCGTCATCATCGCTCTCTATAGAATCACCGTCGTCGAAGTCGCTCTCGTAGTCGGACCCATCCTCCAACTGCACTTCGTCATTGGTGCCTGTACCGCCAGGGTGTTGGCCTTCAGTTCCCTGCATGGAAAAGGAATGGCATTAGAACTCATTTAGAGTGCGATTAAAATGCGTGCAGTTCGAGCCCAAAACAAGCAGCAACAATTAATATGAATGGGCTTACCTCCTCCATGTTATCCTCATCTTCAAAATCTGAGGTCGGTTCGTCCTCGGCAGTCAGCGATGCCTCGCCAAAAAAGTCATTGATGTCAGCGAAGGGGTGGCTGCGGAGGAAGCGAAGGTAACGCCTGCGTTGTCTCCGGCATTCATGACTATGCAGCTTGTGAGCTACCAGCGCTGTGCGTTGCGTGAAGTGCTTGAGGCACCATTCACATGCAAAAACGTAAGATACAGGCGGCAGCGCAGCAGCCCTCCTCGCAGGCTTCGTCTGATGAAATGCACGTCGTTTGTGTGTTTAATTATACCATTAGCCGCAGTCCATGCGACATGCGGTTCACGAGACATTATCGTGGCGATGCCTGCCATATACTTAGTTACTCTAACATCCGTGCCACGGGCCTCTTCGAGCATTCTTACTAGCCACGTCAGGCGGGTCATTCGTGACTAATCAGGTGAATGTTAAGCTGTGGCCACTGTCAGAATGATAAGCACAAGGAGGAGCCATAACTAGGGTTTACCTAGCTAGGCAAGAGAGAAATGAACAAAGGAGAGGTTTGACTAGCAACAGTTGGGATACAAATAGGAAACCCTAAGGGGCTGTACTCACTGTAGAGTACCCCAATGCAGTCTAGACAAGCATTATAATCTGACACACCCCCATAGTCAAAGTGGGGTATAATCAGTACAGCAAGCAGGCATAGAGCAGGTTCACAAGGACAAGTAAAGCTAGAAGCAGTCGCAAAGGACAAGTGAGGAGGAGGAGTGACTGTGGGAGGAGAGGAGATGGGAGGCGACGACGCAAGCTACAGACACACGGCGCAAATGGAGAAACTGGCACACGGGCAACTGGAGCAATTGGCACACTGGCAACTGGAGCAACTGGCACACGGGCAACTGGAGTAACTAGCTCCGCGGCTAGACGAGCGGCAGGAGCAACTGACCCACGGGCAACTGGAGCAACGGGGTCACGGGCGACTGGAGCTACGGGCTCACGGGCGACTGGCGCAACGGTCTCACGTGCGACTGGAGCTGCTGGCTTCATGGCGGCCACCTCCTCTCAACCTCCCCCACCTATCGCACACCCCTTTCACATCCCCTGCTGCACCCCTAGTTTCACTCCCACGTTACCCCTTATAAACTCTAAACCCTCGGCTCCCACACACCCACCCCCCTCAGCGACAGCTGCAGCAGTGGGAGACGGAGGAGGAGGAGTAGGGAGCGGCGCACACAACCGGCACCCCCACAACCGCCACCCCCATACCCTGGGTGTGCGGTAAGCGAGTTCAGGTGTGCGCGAAGCAAGCACAAGTGTGCGGGAAGCGAACTTGGGTGTGCGGAAACCGAACTCAGGTGTGCGGGGAGGGGGGACCGCAGGGCGACGCGCGGGTCGACAGGGCCGCCGCGAATGGCGATGGAGAGCCGGGCGCGAGTCAACGGGGCCGCCGCGAAGGGCGACGGGGAGCCGCGCACTGGTCGACGGGGCCGCCGCGAAGGGCGACAAGGAGCCGCGCGCGGGCCGACGGGGCCGCCGCGAAGGGCGACGGGGAGCCACGCGCGGGTTGACGGGACCACCGCAAAGGGCGACGGAGAGCCGCGCGTAGGTCGATGGGGACGGGCGCGCGAGTCGACGGAATGCAAAACCGCCGCGCGCGCCCTGGGTGTGCGGCGGGCAAGAAACCGCCACGCGTCCCGTACGCATGGCGGGCAGAAAACCGCCATGCGCCCCGAGCGCGTGGCGGGAAGAAAAAACATCGCACCCCATGGGGCGCGCAACAGATAGTAGGGCAGAAGAAGCACTAGGCGGGCCCACAGGCCAGGAGCGTGACAGCTCTGAAACCATGTCAGAATGATAAGCACAAGGAGGAGCCATAGCTAGGGTTTACCTAGCTAGGCAAGAGAGAAATGAACAAAGGAGAGGTTTGACTAGCAACAGTTGGGATACAAATAGGAAACCCTAAGGGGCTGTACTCACTACAGAGTACCCCAGTGCAGGCTAGACAAGCATTATAATCTGACAACCACGTCTGATGGTCCACTGTCAAGTCGACGATGAGACGCTAAATGCTTCTAAGGCGTATATTGGCTATTGTTGATTGCGCCAGATGACGTGACAGGCACGTTCTCTAGCCCGACGCCTACTAAAAATGTAGATACTAACTTGGAAATTGTGGGACACAACTTCGTGTGTGAGGAA